CCAGTGACCAGAGGCAGGAGGTAGGCCAGGGCAAGGACGCAGCTCAGACTTGTGTGGGAGTGTATTAGTCAGGCTTCTTCAGGGAAACAAAAGCAATAGGATGTGTAGATAAAGAGATTGATTATAAGGAATTGGCTCACACAGTTATGTGGGCTGACAAGTCCCAAGATCTGCAGGGTGAGTTGGCAAGCCAGAGACCCAGGAGAGTGTAGCTCCAGTTCGGGGACCAGCAGCCTCAAACCTGAGGAAGAGCCAATGTTTCAGTTTGAATCCAAAGTCAGGAAACAGCCACAGCCAACATCCCCATTTGAAGGCAGCCAAGCAGGCGGAATTCTCTCTCACTTGGGGAAGGGTCAGACTTTTTGTTCTATTCAGGTCTTCAACTGATTTTATGAAGCCCACCCACATTGGGGAGAGCAATCTGCATTACTCAGTCTACCAATTTAAATGTTAATCTCATCCAGAAATACCCTCACAAACACCCCCAGAATAACGTTTGACCAAATATCTGGGCACCCCATGGCTCAATCAAGTTGACATAAATTTAACCATCACAGGGAGCAATGAGGTGGTCAGGTGAGGTGACTCTTAACTACAGCTGTTGGAAGACACACCTAACCCCCCACACACAGACACACACATACACACACACACACACACACACACATCCCTGCCCTCTCACTCAGGATTCCCAGTGAGGGTGATTTCACCCTCTAAGAGGCACTTTTGGAAATTTATAAAGGCATTTGTCACAATGTCCCCAGTGATGGATGTGGGTTGTCACTGACGTTTGGTGGACGGGGGCAGGGATGTCAGATGCTCCGCAGTGGTCAGGACAGTCCACATCACAGGGGACTTTCCCACCTGACTTTCCAACGTCCCCCTGGATGTTCATGTCTTTGAAAACCTGTCCATAATTAGCTGGGTCTAGCATCTAACTTCATTTTCTATATAAACACAAAGGATTTTTTGCAGTTTTACAATACACTGAAATTTTCAGGAATGCAACATTGAACAAAGGTGGTACATTTTTGTTCAGGACTTCGTTGAGGCTTGGTCACCATTCTGGAAATCATGTATTGAATGGCAATGCCAGTCACAGTGTTTGAGCCATCCTTAAGACACGGGTGAATCTGCGTGCATTTATATCTATTGCATTCACAGCAATTCTACACGTAGGTGCAGACATCTAACTACCTGTCAGGTCCTCCAGTGTAGCTGTGTACAAGTTTTTTCATGAATTGAAATACTTATTTTTCTATAAATTTGCTTTTCTTTGTTCCTTAATTATAACATAGTGTATTATATTCATTTTTTTTGATATTATGAATTTTGGGAGAAAATTTTGTGTGTGGGTAGATTATATTATCTATGGGTTTCACTCAAGCATAACAAAGGGAAAGTTTCAAATTATTTGTTATAAAAAGGGGCACTGGGTCTGATGTGGCTGAAAGCCACTATTTGGACCAAACCGGTCCCTTTAAGGGGACATTCATTTGTGCGTTGGGCTGGATCCTAGCCCCAAGGGGCTTGTGTACAGTGAGGGTACTGGGTCCCTGATAACCTGATCTTTCACTTTGGGGAACCTTCAGAAATTAACAAGTTCCCAAGCAACTGGCTGGTGTGTCCTACTCCTCATTGTAACTGAGACGTTTCTCTGTTCTACCAAGAAATGAAAGGGTCAAGAGGCTTCGCACCTAGGTCCTCCCAGGAGCTTGTAGACTCTGTCTCCTCCACAAAGGCCTCCCTGATCAGCTCTGTTTTGAGGAACCCATCTCCCTCTCCTCTGATCTGCCTACACTTATTCCACCTTAACATTTTTTCATGAGTTCATTTCTTATCTCTTTAAATGACTGTATACTTGAGGGGAGAAATTGATTTGTTCTGTGTCCAAGTGGATAGATGGATGCATGGGTGGATGAATGCATGCATGACTTAGGGGAATATTAGATTGAGCCACTAATTTAATCCCAGTGTCTGTGGCAATCAAATAGAGGGGACTGCTTTGTGCTTTCTACCCAGCCAGCTTGCCAGCTGAGCCCCTTGTGGTGCCTTGGGCTTTAATCAGCAGTTTAATTAGCCCTGGCACTTGATTCTGGAAGAAATGGAGAACAGCGATGAACACAAGCAGGAGAGATCTGGGCTGTCACTAGCCCGACATACGGCGCTGTGGATCACCCACTGGCTTCGTTCAGGGCTGCACTAAGTCCTAGGTAACTTTACTTCTAAATGTTACATGTGATTAGTCTTTCAAGATGTTAGATGATTAAGACCTTTTATTGACTGTCCAAAACCAAAAATATGGATGCTTTTGGATGAATAATGAAAGTAGTTGGGGATGAGCTGGGCGTAGAAGAAAAAGTTCTGGATTTGGATCTGGGCTTGACCCCTGACTTTTCCATCAACCAGCTATATGGCCATAGACAAACCAGTTCATACTTCCTGGGTTAAGAGTCTGTGATTCAATGAAATGCAGTAAACAACTATTGAAAGGAACTACATAGCAACGTGTTCGTGGTAGATACACCATGAAGCTAAAAATGCTGAAGCTTCCAGGCTGCTCATTGCACTGGCCCCTTCTAAGGTCCTGTGTCTCATTTTGTCAGATGACATCACTACCCTAAACCTGGGTCTCATATTATGGTTTCTTCCAGGTTCAAAATTCTATTCTGGCCAATGGGCTTGGGGAAGGGTATTTTTTGTTATTCAACTCTATTCTATTTTGTAACTTGTGATTTTTGAGTTTCAAGGACACCATTTTTGTCATATATACATTGTTCCTGTCTTTCAGCGCTTAACATTATTTTGGGCAAATCTGATAAAGAAAACTGAAAGTCTAGATCCCTGGAATTTACTAGCATAATAGTCAAAGTTGAGCCACATTCTATACTTTATTGTAGTTGAAAATCCTACAGCGAGAATTGACTGCGAGCTCCATGTTTGGTTACTAGTGGTTTTGTTCCAGGCTCATTTCCCACTGTCCAGGAGTTCCAGACATTTGGTGCTGCAGATGAGCTTCTCTTCCTTCATTCTCCTAGAAGAGTTCTGGAAGCTGGGCCTTGGGAGGTACAGGAATAAACTATGCACTGAGCTGACAGTTCTCAATCAGACAAGTCCTTACTCTGTAGCAACCTGGTTTGGACACCTGCCCTAATCAAATGGGGGCAACTGGGGGATCGGGGGAGGGCCTCAGAAATTCTCAATTACAGATGTCCTTGACTTACATGTTTCAACTTATGATTTTTCAACTTTATGATGGTTGAAAGTACACTTCGAGTAGAAATTATACTTCAAGTACCTATCCGATCATTCTGTTTTTCACTTTCAGTACAGTATTCAGTAAATTACATGAGAAATTCAATAATTTATCATAAAACAGATTTTGTGTTAGATGACTTTGCCCAACTGTAGGCTAATGTAAGTGTTCCGAGCATGTTTAAGGTAGGCTAGGCTAAGCTATGGTGTTCAGTAGGTTAGGTGTATTAAATGCATTTTTGACTTATAGTGTTTTCAACTTACAATGGATTTATCAGGACATAGCCCCATGATAAGTTGAGAAGCATCTATACTTGGTAGGTAAGTACAAGGCATGATCTCCATGCTTAGTGTCATACTCTGCTAGCCCAAGAGGACAGAACAGAGAAAGCAGAGGGTGGAGGAGGAAAATATCTTTAGGCTGCAGTCCTTACAACAGAATCTTTCTTCCCAGCCTTCTCAGTGCTCACAACCCCTACACCCTGCCCGTACAGAGCACCCACAGGGCATCTGTCTTCAGCTTGCTTTTCAGAGCTACTACAAGGCCTACCCCTGTAACAACTTGGTTTGGACACCTAGCCTAGGCAAACTGGGAAACTTTATCTGGGCTCAGGAATTCTCTCAATTACTTTGTTTTTCTTGTAACTGGCATTTTGTTCCCTTTTGTGGGGAGAAGAGAAGGAGGAATTTTCTTTCTCTATGGATTCTTCTCAGTCATTTTCACGAAAAATGGGGTTACAGCTCTAACTTCTGACTTCAATTTGCATCAAACACAAAACCCAGAATTTTGTTATTTTTTTTTTGCCTTTGACTTTTGTTTTCCCAATATAGAATCACTTCCACCTCAGAATCATAAACCACTGCGATCTCTAGATCTGAGAGTAAAACCCCAGATGAGTGGACAGCTTAGACGGATTTCCAGTTAACATTTACTCCACCTGTCTGAAATTCGCCTTTTCCATTTATGCTTTTTCTCATTTAAGTTCCGTGTGTTTGTTTGTTAATTGAATTTAAATTGACATTTGGTTTTTAACCAGTTTCGAAGCTGACTTTTATTTGTTGACTTGTAGTTATGTTTTAGTTTGTGTTGTTTTATTGCCATTTCATTCTCAACCGTCCAAGAGCTGGATTAGAAGAATTGGGTTCTAAGCCAACTCTGACCAATGTGTGACCTTGTCACATAGATGCCTTACTTAATTTGTCAGACTGGGGCTTAATAAATGTGTTGGTGCCTCTCTTTATAATGTCCTAGTAGCCGATGAATTGGCTTTGTTTTATTCACTCTTATTTCTATGTTAGCATCTAGAAAAATTCCCAAACTTATTCAGGAACAAATGTTATCATAGAAGCCTAATGGTAACTAGGACTATCTAGAATAATTTCCAGGAAGCTATGGCTTTATAAAATATTAATTTTTGGAAGTGACCAGAAATGTCTACATTTAAATAAATAAGTGCGTCTACTCTTCCGAAGGCTGGCAGGCTGTCTTCTGACTGGCCTCTGTGTGTGGGAATAGCCCCGTTCCAAGTGTTGCCCGATTGTAAAACAGGAGCTGTCATCATGCTGCCTAGTCCTCAAGGGGGCCGAGGGATGCTGTGAGTATTATCAGAAGGCATACATCTTTGTGTAGGTTAAAAGAAAACGGAAAGCAGGATCCATGTCCCTAATTTGATCCTTGACGTAGAAGAGCTCCACACAGACCCTCCTCCCTTCTGCCCTGGCAGTGTCCTGTTGTCCTGCTACAGGCGGTGTCAGAAACCCTGTGGTGAAATTCAGCCTCTGGATTCCAGAAATTTGGAGTGTTTTCCTGGGGGGAAAAATCCACATACACAAAACAACAGTTGGAATCCCTGTGGTGAGTTGGGAGGTGGGGAGGGGATGCAGCATGGGGAAGGTTGGAAGCGAAAGCTGCCGGTGTGTGTCTCTCCCTCGTCTCAGCAGGGCTCTGAGTGTCAGAGCTGGCATGGAGAAACAGGGAGAGTGGGGGACTGCAGACACCCTGGTGGAGGAGGGGGGCATGGACACGAGCCTGTGGGGAGCTTGACGGTCGGGACTTTCACATTATCTCATGGGAGTAGGTCAGCGGCTCCACAGCGATGTTACAGTTACAGAAACTGAATTTCAGAGTGGTTAAATAAATTCTCCAAGACCTCATGATTAAAAAACAGTAGGGACACACCCAAATCCAAAAATTGGTGTTGGAAGCCTTCTATGCCATAAAACATTTTTCTCTCCATTCATCTTTGATGTCTCAAGTTCTACTATTTAAAATTAATTTCTTTGGGAACTTAATTGATTTTTGTTCTCCTGTAATACATCTGCACTTAAATTCTTTAGGAAGCCTTGTGCTGAGCATGGCTGCTCCCTACCTGAGAGCAGCTTCCTAGAGAAGAGCTTCACGGCAGGCAGGGGGTGGGCTGGAGAAAGGCCAGGCGGGGAGGGCAACCGTGGGCCTGGCCCCTCAGGGTGGTGATGACAGTGTGGGAGGGGTTTGGGGAGAGGTCCAGAGACAACAGCCCTGGAGGCCACTTGAAGGGAAAGCAGGAAGAAGGTAGAAGGTCAATTTCCTGTCCAGGGCCCTTGTAGCTCCAGCATTCACTTGGGACAGAAGAAAACATGAAATTCCTTGGAGCTGTTACTGAAGGCTGACAGTTTGGAATTTCTGTGTTAGCAGCAGTTTAGGAACAGTTCAGCCAGAAGTGGATGTGTTTCCCGAAGACCTAAAATTCTAGAAGCTGCATTGTTTCCTAATGGGATCACTAGTTATGGACTCATGGAGCTGAAGGGACTCCACGGCGGGAGAGAAACTTAGAGGTCCTGCATTCAGCTGGTGAGACCCAGAGGGACCGGGTAGGGACTGGCCCAAGGCCACACGGTAAGTTAGTGTCACCCAAGGTTGTTGCAATCAAATGCACCTTCAAATCCCTATGGGGAGGTTGGGCATAGAAGGCTGGAAAACATTTTGTCAAGCATCAGATTATGACAAAGATTCTTCCAGAAATTTAAAAATGTGATGACCGAAAGGGGCCTAGGATATATTTTAAAGCTATTTGGTGGTGTTACTGACATTTGAGTTTGCTTTTATTGTTTGAGAGATTAGCAGTAGCAACAAACTCTTACATAAAATTTATCTCTAAATGCCAAAGCACTTCCTTTCTCTAAATATAGTATACAAAAAGAGAGAGACATCTACATAAAGAAAGTCTCTATGGATGTTCTCTTGTGCTTCCAAATCAGGTAAGGGCTGGCTGCTCAGCTCAGAGAAAAGCCTGGGCTTGTTGCTTGTCCGCCGCTCAGCTCTCCTAGCAGATCCAGGCAAGAACATCCGCTTTGCCTTGGGATTAGGACACCTTCCCAGAAGATGGCAGAGGTCTCCAAACTCCAACAGGCTTCTTTACCCCCACACAGTGAGGAGGGAAGGGGCTCACAGGTTTTCATTCAAATTCAAGTGCTGGAAAAGCAGCCCCTTTGCTGGAGGAGCCCAGGTCCCACCCGTGGCCCGAGGCTCAGGAAGGACACACTAGACGGGGATGTGGGGAGGGAGCCATGGCTCCACCTTCCCATTCTCTTGCAGAAGGGGATGTGTGTGCTCCCTGACTTAGCTGCTGAGCTCAGAAATGTCATTAATTGCGTTTCTTTGCTAAACAGTGTTTCTCTCAGTGTGGTTCACAGTACGACGATGGGTTTCTCTTTGAGCCCCTTCCCTCTCCATGAGGGCCTAGGCCTTCCCTCTTCCAGGACATGGTCCAGCCTCCATGGACACTCTTTCATGAGCCTCTGGGGCCAGATGATGAGTCCCTCATGTTGTCTGTCCGCTCTGTTTATGTCTGCTCAATTCAGCAGAACTTAATTTTGCAGAGTGATCCTGGGAAGGATCCGGACTAGGCCTGGAGGATGTAGCAGTGGATGTGTCCCATGTCTGACCTTGTGGAGCCTGTAGACCAGTGAGGGAGGCAAATGGGACCGTTAAAAAATCATCTACGAGAGAGAAAGAGATGCGACCAAGTTAGGGAGGGCTTTCTGAAAGACCCAGAGATCATCTGCCCACTTGATGTATAGAAGAAACAAGATCCAGAGGGGACAGACGAATTGCTTTGGGAACTCTGAGGAAGGCACAATCAATTTCAAATCACATGATGCGGGAAGAGCATCCTGGAGAAGGTGGCTGCTGGGCAGGGCATCGTTAGGTGCACAGGATTCTGGCAAACAAAGACATGAGTGTTCCATGCAGAGGGGCCAGATGAGCACAGGGTGGGAGGAGGCAAGCCTGGATGGGCTCCAGGCACCATAGGCAGTCATGGGGGTGCAGGGTGTGGCTGGTGGATAGACACAGATGCTTGTAGGGTCCGTTGGGGCCAATTGAGAAGGGCCTGAATTTCATGGGCAATGGAGAGTCACTGGGAGTCACAGACGCTTTTTAGGGGAGGCTTGGTTGGCAGGGTGGAGAGTGGATTGGAAAAGGAAGAGCAGGAGCCGGTTCAAAGGCTTTTGCTTGAGTGTGAGCAAGAAACAAGCAGGCCCTGGAGAGGGGTGGCTAGAGTCGGGGGAGAGGGATGGGCTGAAGGCGCAGTGTGGAGGGAAGCAACCACTGGGTTACAGCTGCACCGTCCAATAGTGACCAGGGCCACGGTGGCTGCAGGCACTTAGGTGTGGCTCATCTGGGTTGCGATATGCTCTAAGTGTAAAACACACACCGGGCTTTGAGGGCCTAGTATGAAGAATGTGAAATTCTCTATCTTGTTTTATATTGATTATATGATGAAACAATAAAATTTAGGATGTGTTGGGTTAAATTAAATGTATTATTAAAATTAATTTCACCTTCTTTTAATGTGTGTGCTAGAACATTTCAAATGATAAATGTGGCTCACATGCTATCTCTATTGGACAGCACTGGATTAGAGGGGATGGGAGACAAGGTAGCTTTGGGGACAGGAAGGGACAGGGCTGAGAGAGGGACCTTCAAAGCAGGGTTGAGGGAGGAAGGGTGATAATGCAGATTTGGTGCCTCCCCAAGCTGAGGAGACTCTTGGGCCTCGTGGGGCCATGGGGAGCTTCAGACATTGCCAGTGTCTCCACGCAGAGCACCTGGAATGTCCCTCTGGCCTTGTGACTCGTCTGGCACCAGACCATGTGCTGCCTTGTGCTTGACCGTTGCTTACCTGTGTCTCTGAGTCCTTGCCGCAGCCAGATGAGAAGCCTCTTCAGGGCAGTGCCACTGAGTCCTGGCTGCTTCCCCCAGTGCTTGCTCAACCCAGAGCTGTTGGTGGCAGGTGCTCCCAAGGTCCTTGGCAAACATGCTCTTGTACAACGGACTTAGGCTGCTGGGGGTAGAGTGGGCTCAAGGCCAGTGGAGACCTCGGCGGCTTGGATGGGTTTCCTCCATCCCCCTCTTAGCGGTGTGTGGCTTTTGACAACTGATTTGACCCCAGACGTACGCCAGAGGGCTCTGTGATGTGACGCTCAGTGTAGGCAGATGACACAGCTGTGTTCAGAGAGATGGGAGCCATGGATTGTTTTCTAGCACAGAGGGGAAGAGCATTGGATGGGGAGACTTGAGTTTGCACCTCAGGTCCTCAAGTGCTTACTCACTTGAGCCTCCACATCTGTGAAAGGGGAGGATGGTATCTATCTACCTCAGAGTGTCGTGGAAATTAAGAGTTCATGCATGGGAAAAAATAATGGCTGACGTTTGAGTGTTGCTTTATGGCCTGCAAATCAGATCTCATCTGAATTTTGTGCATTATTATAATTTCTGTTTTACAGATGAAAACTCTGAGGTACAGAGAGTGCAAATGACCTAATAGAGATCACATGACTATTAAGAGGTAGACCTGAGTCTGGAGCCCAGCCTGACTTTTGCCACTGTCCTTTGCTGCCTATCTAAAAGAACAGCCTGCATGTGTCCAGTGATACACAGGGCTTCATAGTCCTTGCATGCCTGCCAACTGCTGGTTCTTCCTAGGAGGATGTATAAACCCAAAGAGTTGCGATATATGCACACTTAAGGCATGATAATCATGAGATTGTGGCAGCCAATGAAGAAGCCTTCATTAATCATGTGGCTCCAATGGTTTAATTGACTGTCACGTATGTGTGACAAGTTATGGGTTATGAGGATTGAATAAGAACTGTTTATAAGAATGTCTATAAGGTCTAGTGACAAGCTCTGGTTAGATATTTTGACCATGCTACAATGCATGAAAGTGTTTGTAAGAATTGTATGGGCTTCGGTAGCTGACAGAATCTGCTTGTGTCTTCAGAAAACTTTGTCATGAACAAATTTAGATGACTCTTTTGTGTCTGATCTTCAGATGCTTTAAGTGGTGCATCTGTGAATGAGAATGTTGATTACAGTGTTTACAGGGAAACGGATCAGAAACTATTAAAATCTGCTAGAGCTTGGGCTAAGTCTAATATAGTCAGTTATAATAAAATTGGGTTCCAACTTCAGCCTGATTAGGGGAGAGAATGTAGGGTGAGAGACTCAGGCTGAGCTTGAAAAGGAATGGAGGGAGTTTGGCCAATGGGAAGGAAGGCTGTGCCAGACAGAAATGGTGGGGACTGGTGACTACCCAGGGCAAAGCCTGGCAAAGGGCCTGGCCCCTCAGAGTTGGGCAATGAATGCAGAGAGGCTGAGGTCCATCTGTCGCCTTCGGCACTGCAGCCTACATCTCAGGGTGTTTCCTGTGGGAGTTCCAGAAGAAAGCGGATGGTCAGCTTGGGGGACTATGTGGTTCATATTGGAACACGGGACATACTACATTATTAAAAAGATATACCCTGGATGACTGACAAAATGAAACTTAACTTTCCAATTGTTGGCAACAAGAGCAGATTCAGTTCCAATGACCA